GAACCGCTCCTAACCAAGCTGGTGTGACCGGATGACCGTCAGTTGACTCTGCGGCCGCGTGGGGTTCCTCACGGGTGCAGGAGGTCCCGTACTGTAATGGGAACTCCTGGGGCGAAGGGTAAGGGAAACATTGAGCCTATGTCTGCCATGCCAGAGCGGGGGGTGGAAAGGAGAGGAGGACAAGCGCACGATGGGGCTTGTTGGGAGGGATGGAGCGAGTGTTTTGGTGGCTCCAGCAAAGGACAGTCAACTGTGGGTGACCTGCCTTCTGCAAGTAGACTTTGGAGCTTCCCAGCTTATAAGAAAACACCCAAGGCTGAGGGTGGCAGGGCAGGTGAGCTCCTGTGAGCTCTTTTACTGTGGTTTATTTAGACTTTGGGGTTAGGGATGCTTGGGTTTGGTGGTGGGAGGTTCTGCATCTACCGGTCTCGACAGAGGTCCAGGAGGAGCAGTTACTCTTGTTTCAGCTGATAGTGTTGGGGTGCTGGAAAGTCACGGCTAACCTGTTGGGCTGACCCTATGCTCCCCTCCCGTGGGCTTTTGTGGACAAGGGTGGGTACCACACCAAGTGTGTTGCTTGTCTGGGGAACCTCTCTCGCTGAAAAACAACCTAGCAAAAAAGAAAAGGGAGTTCAGAGCTTGAGCGTGGCATGGGTCATGTAGAAGTGAAGCCTTCTCCGGCCAGCAGGATCTGGCTGGGTTGCTGCAGAAATGCTGCTTATTTCCTGGTAAAAGCATATTGTATTCTCGGTGTCTTTTGTTAGCTGCAGGGAGACCAGGGTGGCTGTCTGTCACATGAACGTGCAGGCTGAACTTTGAGAAAGCATGCCATGTTCAGGAAAAAAAAGACACAAAAAAAACCACCAAAAAAACAAAGGCAAATTATATCTGAGCTTGTTTGTACAGTGGCATGTCAAGTCAGTGACCCTTTGAGAGAATACGCAGAACTAGAGATCTGACTCTTGTTAGTAAAACCCTTCCGGATAGAAAATGACCCTGGACTCTTCGGGTGCTCCTGGCAGCAGGAAGGCTGGGTGCTGTCCCCCAAACAGCATCCATAAAGACGGCGCGGGTCCGCAAGCAGCAGGTAACCCCATGAACCCGAAGCTGTGACTTTTGGTATTGCTTCTTGTGCCTGAGCTGAAACCAGGACTCCCGGGATGCTTGTGGTTGTCAGTGCGTTCTGTTGCCTTATGCAATGAGGATTAATCCAGGTAGGTGGAGAAGTATTTCTTGGCTGGTTAACAGCAGGGGGGTGAGGCTCCTGGAGGAGCTTGCTGGCTTCGGGTAGGTGGCAAGAGCTGGGGGGCGAGGACTGCGTAGCTCATAGCAAATCGTCCTCCATCGCACCGTGATAAACTTATCCTGGGTGGAACAGAGCTGAACCCGTTTTCAGCTCTGTGCCTCTTGCGTTGCAGCAGCCATGCAGGAGATCCTGGTTTTGGTTACTCCGTGGGCTGTTTGTCCTGTTTGTGTCCACAGCTTTAATGAAAGGTGCGAGCCTGTGGACCTGGCTGTGCTGGTGGTGATGCAAACTGCAGCGCGTGTGGGTTAGGTGGGTACAACACGTGCTTGCCACCCACTCTGGGGTATGGTATGAGCTTTTGAACCCCTCTAAGAGTGGCTTAGATGATCAACAGAAAAATAAAAATTGGTATTTATCCATTCTCATGTGAAAGCAACTGGATCCGCGGTAAGGATGAAGATACTCAGGGTGAATTCCCAATGACACGGCCCCACGCGCTTTGGTCCTGCACATGCCAAGCTGATAGTTTATTGCTTTACAGGAGCACTTATCCCTGATTACCTTTCTGATGAGATGGTGCTGCTGCGTGCTTAAATTATACCGGTTGCTTCGAAGGCATCCCAGTGATAGACCAGGGTGAGATCAAGATCTCCTGGGGTCAGTTCTGGAGTGTGAAGCAATGCCTTCAAGTTAAAACTAGCAGAGCGGGGGGGAAAAAAACCAACAAACAAAACACAAAACACCACCCCAAAACCCCAGCTGGATGCAACCAGCTCGGCAGCGGTGGGTCGTGCTGAGTCACGCTGGCGGTGGAGCGGCTGCCGGGAGTTTCTCCGGGGCATCGTGAAATCCAGCCCCTGCCCAGCCCCTCCTGACGAGCATCTGTGGAACGGGAAGGTGTGGAGACCCGTGGAGGCGTTGCAAGACCCTTACGCCTGCTCAGCGAGGGCTGAGAGCTGGGTTTAAAACCTGTTTTTTAAATTCAAAGATAATTCAGTGTTGTCGCTGCCTTTAAAGGAGGATTTTTCTGAGCCTTTGGGTTTATTTCCAGCGCTGTTCGTAGGTTACGATGCATTTAGTGCTCTGAAACAGGAAGCTTTGCTCGAGGCTGCCAAATTCCCTGTTGAAGGGTGATGCCTTATCCTGACTGCTGGCCCTAAGTCTGCTTAAGTCTGAAATTCAGCTAGCTGCTGGACTAAGTCACTTTGCAAATATAATTCCTGTGCAATTTTTTAAGGAATATTGACTTCAAATATGATAATTTGTTTGGCTTAGCCTCACGTATTGCTTTAGTGCTTTCATAGCTTGGTTTTATTATACTGGGTTAAAGTCCTGAATTCAGCCCTGATCCTTTGCTCGGTCTCAGGAAGTGTCTGTGAAAGTGCTCTTTGGGTTCCGGTAACTAGAGTGGTTTGGGGAAGCAAAGGTCCAAATATGGAACATTTTTATTGGCTTAATCTTGCCCGAAAGCATAGCTGTAGTATTGCCTCCTGGCTAATTACTGAAGTGAGTTGATAAGCTTGAAGGGACATGTTCCAGTGAGGAAGGTGGAGGTGGCATGGGCAATCCTTGCTTTTTCAGGGCTGTTGAATCTCTGCTGAGGACGGAGCTGTTGGTGTTGCTTTGCCTGCGAGGCCAGCAGTGGTGCCTGCATGCTGCCAAATCGTTTGGGGGGAAACTTTATTCTGAAGATGGGGCAGCAGGCATCCTTCCTGACAAACCCGAATGACCTCTGAATTGCGTCTGTCAAGCTTCTCCTTAAAAGAGCATTCATTTGGTGGATCCTGTTGCAGGTTGCTAAACACTCGTCTCCTGTGGCTATGTCCTTTCCCAGGAGCCTTCTGTGTTTGTGTTTCAAGGCGTGAGGCCACTACCAAAGGCTCTATCCCTTCAGACCGGTTTCGGTGCGATGGGGTGTATCGGCTGTGTTGCAGCCTGGCAGGACTTGTGGGCTGCTCGGCAGGAGTGGCAATGCCCTTTGCATCTTGATGCTCTGGATTTGCTCGGTCTTGTTGGGGTGGTTGTAGAGTTTCAAGCCCTACCAGTGTCTGTCTCATTGCTGGTGAGAGGTGGCTGGGGTCCGTGCCCTGCAAACACCCGTCGCAGGTTGGCATTGTCATTGCAAGGACTTTGAGAGTTGCTGGTGGGCGACGGCATCAGTCTGCAGCAGCCTGAAACAAGCTAAAAGAAGTAATTTTTCCCACGGTGCATAATTAAGTGATGGCAGTGAGTTTAATAGGATACTTTGGATGCCAGAAGCTTAGCTGCCTTCAAAAATCTGTGGAAGAAAAGCTCGTAGAGGACTGTTGAAGAAAGATGTGGATGAACCACCTAGCTCGGGACGTTGGTGGCTGCAGGGCACCAGGAGCTGGGAGGGAAGATGGGGCGAAGGGCAGCTCTGTGCTCTCCAGGCTGCTGGGGGATGCGTGGCCACCAGCTGGGTCTTCCTCGGGTCGCTGTGCGGAAGAATGGGGTCCCAGTCTCGCCCTCCACGGAGAGGGAGTCGCTGCGAGGACCCCGTTTTCTCAGCTCGCCCTTCTAGGAAACCTGTTTCCCAATTGAGCAGACTAACTCTGCACACCAAGTGTCACAAGCAGCTGAGCAACTGCAGGAGAAACAAGCTGGGGCAGAGAGCCGGGAGTGTTGTAAGCAAGAGGCAATTAAAGACCTAACTGTATTTCTTCACAGAGTCTTTTGAACAACGGCGTTAGCTTAATTCCGTGTACTTTCCGTGCATAAACAAGAGCAGAGGTTACATTTCCCTCTGCTGAGCGCTTGTCTGAGCAGCCTCATAACATTTTGGTGTTGCAATGGGAGCATGGACTTAATCTTGCTGGTCTGGCAGGCGAAGCGTGGATGAATAGTGCCCTGGCCCCGGCGCGGGCACAACTGGGGAATAAATTGATCCCTATAAAGATCTTGGAAGTCTTGTGGCTTGCTAACTCTATGACTCGTGCTTGTTGCATTAACGACTGAGACCTCTCCCTCTGTGTGCTTTGTTGCAGACAAGGATGCAGAGCTTGCAGCCGGACCCCAAAGCCCAGTACAGGAGCGTGTACGAAGCTCTGAAGAAGATTGTCCTTACAGAGGGTTTCTGGAGGCCTTTACGTGGGATTAATGTCACCATGCTGGGGGCTGGCCCTGCCCACGCAATGTACTTTGCCTGCTATGAAAAAATGAAAAAATCTCTAAGTGATACTATCCAGCATGGAGGAAACAGCCACTTGGCCAATGGTATTTTTGGTTTTTACACACAGGAAAAAACGCTTGCCGTTAACAGCCTGTCCCTCGCTGGCTTCACATGCTTAGCCTGGCATCATTCACTGTGCTCTGCTCCTGGGAAAGCTCCTAGGCAGCCCACGTTCAGGCTGCTGCTGTAAATACCTATAGGGGAGGATGCAAGATGCAAACATAACCCCAGGGTTGCACACCCACTTTGGGAGTGCTGGAGGGGCACGTGGAAGTCAGGCGGGCAAGCGTGGCGCCTGCCCTCCAGTTGAGTGCTGGTCCCACGCTCCTCCGAAACCTGTGCCCTCGCTTAGGACTACTGACTGCTTGGTCGCGCTGTTGTGCACCCTCCAAAGTCTTAGTCTAATCTAGATTTCTGTACTGCTCTCTAATCTCAAATTATTCTAGCACAAGTAATCAATACACTGGACAAGGGGTGTCCTGATGCAGTCACAGGCTGTTTCTGGCTTTATGTTGAGGGCATCGCCTAAAGCTCTGGAGGTTCCAAGTACAGGTTGTTCCAGATTGTCTCCCTTGGAGCTCCAGCATGGTAGAGTGCACTGCATCCTCTGTGTGCTCACGTGCTTTGCTAAAGGTTTTGCTTCTCCCAGGAAGGCTTTTGCTTTTAGGTCCAGCAATACTGCTCTAACAGCAGAAACGCTCTAATTGAGCAGCCAGGGGTGTTACGAAAGGGCTTGTGCAGAAGACATTTCTGCCTGGTCCTTGATGTGATGTGATGGTAGGAATCTGCCATGGCAGTCACTTGACTCTATCAGCTCAGTTTAGGGTATGTAATATCTTTCTGGCTTGCTGCTTTTTGCTAGTAATATGCTTCCTGTGTTTGCCTTTTAAGTAGTTACAGGCTTTCAGTACCAGCAGGAAAACTGAAGTGCTGCGTTAATGAGAAATGACCGAAATTCATTTGGGCAAGAGAATTTGAGATGGAAACCTACATCAAAGGAGAAGGTGTGGCTCGAGAGGCCCATCCCAGAGCCAACTGCAGAATCATTAATGGCTGGCTGGATGTTTGCAGAATCTGTGCAATTAGTGTTTAAAAGTAGACTGAGTAAAGGAATGAAAATGCCTAATTATGGATGCGCTGAGCCAGTTCTAAACGTTGCTCGTCCCTCAGTCCAGCGCAGGCTGAGTGTAGCCAGTGGTGTCTTGTGTAGGCAAAGCCTTGCAAGTTGCTGGGAACAGCAAAGGTGATGGCTGTGATCCTGTGAGCAGATCCTGCTTTCTGTCCAGCTGCTCTGGGTGGGTTTTTCTCCGCTGGGAATGTTGCTGGGTGCTTCCTTGGGCTTGCTGTGGCGCTGGGCTGCAGGTCCCCGGGGCAGCAGTACCCGGGCGCTTGGTGGCCTGCGGGCTGCCTGCGGCATCGGCTGCCACCTCCACGGATGGCAGTGCCTGAGCAAGACCCTGGCTTCTGAATCTTTTTTTTTTTTGAAGGATGCTCTTATCTCTTGCAGGCATAGCTGGGAGCGTGGCCACGCTACTCCACGACGCAGGGATGAATTCTGCTGAAGAACCCTGCTGAAGGTAATGCCCTGTGCTGATGGGGAGGTGCTGCACCCCCTTAGCCTGGGCAGGCACCAAGGACACCTTGCCCCACCTCAGCAGCTGAAGTCCTTTGCTTTAGTGACTCTGCCCGGCTTTTAATGAGTTCAGGCCAGTGTAAAGGGATAAATTCTGCCTGGCTGTTTTCCCTTGCTTGCCAAGGGGTTGCACAGCATCTGTGTGGCGTATCGTGACTTTCCAGGAAAACTGGTGTCACCTTTACTAACATGATGCTGTTACTGCTCTGCTAGTGCATCTTTACTGAAGTGGCTGTGTTTTTTCTGAAGCTTTGGACTACCCAAACAAAACTGAGCTCAGTCACGTCGTTAGGCAAGTGCAGTAGCCTTCCTGGGTAGGTAGAGTCTGGCATGCAGAGGACCAACAGTGAGATGCAGCTGAAGTGAATTAGCTGGACTGCCAGCCTATTCAGTGTTAATAGGCTAAGTACTTCTGAGTTGGCCCAAAGTCAAGTTTTCCTGAAGGAAAACATGTCTCTAGTGTTTAAAATGCTTTTAATCATATCCTGATTGAATGAATTAAATTAATTAGCTTTTTGCTTAAGTCAATGGAACTTGTTCCATATCCAGACTTTGGACTGCAGATGAAGTACAGTTACTTAATCAACTTTCTTCCCTTGCCCTCTTGGTCTGTCAGTGTTTCTGCACAACAGCTCTGCATCCTCACAGATGCATCTGAGGGTCCTTATCAGCCTGACTTAATGCCTTTCTAGCTAGAAGTAAAGATTCCCTAATTAAGCTTGAGATGAGTGCATTAGCCCATAGAAGTGGAGAGCTGCTCAACCAGGGCCGAGCTCTGACCTGCTTCCCTCACTTGTTGCGTTGAGTTTTTCGGGGGCCACTGGGCAGATTGAGGGAAGCAGGGGATGTATGCAGCCTTTTGGTGAAAGCTTTGTAGATAAGGAGCTCATAACTACCGAAATTTCTGTTCTATGTCGCAGCAGTTCGGACTTGGAAGGGGAGGTTGGGTTTGGATGGACTTGGAGCAGGGTTCAGTCTTGGTGTTGTGAGGACCACGAAAGATGTGCCTTAGCTAACAAGTCTTTATCTCCCTGCGTCTGTCCTGCCTGCTGCTGCCTGCCCTGCCTTCACCCCCTGCGGCCGTCGCCTGGACCAGTGGTGAAGCAGCGGATGCAGATGTTCAACTCTCCCCACAAGTCGGTCCTGGCGTGTATAAGGACAGTGCAGAAGACTGAGGGGTTCGGTGCCTTCTACCGCAGCTACACCACCCAGCTCACCATGAACGTCCCCTTCCAGGCCATTCACTTCATCACCTACGAATTCATGCAGGAGCAGATCAACCCACGCCGGGAGTATAACCCCCGGTCCCACATCGTCTCCGGTGCCCTCGTGCCTGCCGCTGCCACCACTCCTCTGGATGTCTGCAAGACCCTGCTCAACACCCAAGAGAACATGGCCTTGAGCTCCGTGAACATCAGCGGCCATCTCTCAGGCATGATGAATGCCTTCAAGACTGTCTATCAGCTGGGGGGCATCTCGGGGTATTTCAGAGGGGTGCAGGCACGTGTCATTTACCAGATGCCTTCAACGGCCATCGCCTGGTCGGTATATGAATTCTTCAAGTACTTTCTCACAAAGCACAAGCTGGAAAAAAGAACATCCTTGTGAAGGACTGACTGAGAGTGAATGCCGGCCTCCGTGTCCCCTCTGTGCCCGTTTGTGTGCCTGCAAGCCAGCCAGCCCCGGGTCTCTGCTAAGGAACGTGCTAGGTTTCTGGTGGATTCACAGCCGACGTCGCTTCTCCCTCCCCAGGGAAGGAGGGATTAAAGTGGTCCTCAGTCACGCTCCTTGCTTAAACAATGAAATAGTTTGTAAAGACTTATAATAATATATATATTTAA